CCGAGGGAGAGAATACGATTTGATAAAGCCAGGATTGGCGCTTTTTCCAAATTGCTTTGTTTTAAATCTATCTTTGGGTCTATTGAGAGCGCCCCCTGTTGCTGTTGGATCTACCTTGACCCTACGAACCACGTTCTTTGTCTTTGGATGAATGACACATATCCCCTCGGATTGCTCCCTTCCCCCACTGGACACACTGTCTCTGGGATCAAACGGATGGAACATGATGGCCTGGCACCACGATCCAACAGATAGGTGGACGAGCAGGTAACAAAGGAACTGTGGTTCTGGTTTGGTCAGGTAGCGATCAGGCTGGGGCGATTGTACAGTGCGTACGGCTGGGATACTCCCTACATCATCACACAATAGAAGCAACCTCAGGCTGGTACCTCGAGGGCGACAGTCCAGTACTACTTGTACCTTTTTGGAGAAGTCAACAAAGACAGCCTGGATACGGAGCACCTAAAAGGTAGGTAAGACCTGCTATTGTGCTGTTCACCAGTACAGACTCGGCCACTCTCCTCGTTTTGATGTCGCCATGTCATTCCCTAAAATTCAATAGTTACTTTACTTTACTTTACTTCATTATTCTTTCAACTGGTCGTCGCCATAATGTTGTTTCAATGTTTGGCCTGAGCTTTTCTTTTCTTTGTCTTTGTCGACGCATGCGGCGTGCCGTAGGAGAGTCCCCGAGCCAATCACCAAAGACGGCGGCACAGCCAATGATTGGCGGCAATTTGTGACCAGTAACATCCGCCTAAGTCACTGGAAAGTCACCCTGGTCTGGCCCTTTAGCTTGCCCGCTAACCTTAATCCAGCGAGCTTACTGATTACGTAGCTAAGTCCTAAGGTATCTTTGCTTAGCTGGAGGAGCCTATTTGCTGCCCCCCTTATCGCTTCCCCCATGCTCTCCCACCTAACGCTAAGACAACGCCCCCAGACCCCTTTGTTCTCATAACTAGCATCATACCTGAAGGTACTTACGGAAGGGGAACAAAGAAATATCGATGAAAGAACCGAACAGAAAAGAAGATGAGAGATCGATCCTCCACTCGACCCCTTAGCCCACCTACCTACGGAGTACTCCGTACTCCGCACTAATTATTACCAAATCAGGGGACCTAGACTAGAAGCTCGACACGCGTAGTGACTTTCAGTTCTCATAGATTGGCGGCACGTTTTATCCAACTAACACGAATAAAGGAGAGCATCTTCCCCTTGACTAAGTATGATACAGTCATGTTGCTGGCCCCTGCCAAGTTATGATCGACGATCCACCCCACAATCAATGTTGCACATCGAACCGTGTGGAGCAGAAGCCAGCTCCTTCCGCATGAGACATACCACCTTGACCAGAACATTCGGTCTCGGCCATGATGCTTCGTCGAGAATAGGAGGGGCTCTATCTTTTGGCCCCATCAAAGAAAGTAAACCTGTTCCGGACTTGGTCTTCATCGGACCTCCATGTAGCCGCAAGGAGTATAGCTTCTGGCCGGGAGTCCGCTAATGTAAGATCGATCTCTGCCATGGCTTGCCTTCCTTGCCGTCATCGACCGCTGCAAGGCGTTTGTTGTATCGGGGAGTAACCAATGTTTTGGCTTCTACGCTGCTCTTCCTGGCAGTCATTACGTCAAGATCTCGAGGGTTCCATCGCGCTGCGATTCGGAGAAAACGCCATCTACCTAGCTTTACCGGAGCCACATCTCTTCTATCCCATGGAACACTTCAGTTCCCATGAGACGATGAGCCGATGGACCGAGATGCATTTCGTTCCTGGAGATAACGTCAGTATCCAGCTAAATCGCTACACGGGGCGCCGCTAGGTCTGGAACTCACCAGAAAAGGTACTTGTCCGGATTTTCACATCGTTTCTCCTTGGGGACCATTACCCATTGCTGGGCAGTCTGGACGCATGCGTCTTCAACGTTCTCCCAGCCCGGATCTTGATTTTTCCCAAGCCCGTTGGGTTCCTCCACCCCGGCAGCGAAGAGCTGCCAGTCTTTGATAAGGTCTGCCATAAATGCGTTAGTGTCGAACAGGTAGATGACGCCTTGATCCCATTGTTCCGCGGCATCACGCAGTTTGCGATTCCAATATTCCGTCAGCTTGACCGTGTCTTTGTGGCGACTGACGCGCTGTTCGGCTGCTGTCGGCCTAAATGCCGGAAGGAAAGTCACATCGGGTGTGAGCGTGAGAATGACTTTGGAGTCATTTGTGACCCAGAGCTGAGAGAGCACATTGAGCTGGTCCATGATCACCTGGATACTATGATCAACCATACTAGACGAATCTTCGTAGCTCTTTCCGATCATGTTCCATAGGTCCCAGACTCCAAAGGAGACAACAATAATCGTATTATTTTGACGAGACGCGATCTCCTCGTCCGACAAGGACTGCAGGGCTGCTTTCTCGGCCGTCATCCATTGCTTCACCTGCGCCTTGAAATCCGCCAGGGGTGCCTTGTACAGATTGAGCATGGTGCCCGAGAGCTCCTCGTTATCCACAACGGAGCCAATGTAATTTCCTCTTAGAGATTTTGCTGTTTGCGCCATGTTTTCATGGTGACAGGAGTACTGAGTCTCATTATTAGCACATCACAACGTAGCCTCTCCGGTTGAACTTGGCCAGGATATCCCTCACCATTGAGCACAGCCATTCAGTCCATACCGACCCCTGAATGTCGCCTGCATTGTTGTCGCTCCACGAATCACCAAAGACAACCAATCTTCGATCAAACGAGCCCGCAGCGTGGAACTCCGTAGCCGCCAAATGGGACGGAACTACTCGGCGATAATAGTGCTGCGAGGCGAGGAACAATGTTGACACCAGAATGCTACATACAGCCAAGGCGCACAAGGCGTAGAATCTGTTGAAGAGTCTCATCGCAATCAGCCGTCGAGGCCGAAACCGACACCACAGCAATCACAAGGTGCGACGGGAGGCTGTTCTCCCAGCGTTCGTCGATCGGCGGTCCTCTTTGTTCTGCCTCCTGAAAGACACCCGGGACGATCGGGAGTAAGAACGAGACGGGAGATGCCGATACTGAGTGGCGTAATGGGAGACAGGTCCCCAATGATGGATACGCTATTCCCTCCGTTGAAAAGCGACTGACTCGGGGATACGGAGTAGATTGTTATATACTAAGACAATGGTCCAGGGAAAAGGGCAAGGAAGATGAGGATAGGACCGGTTTTATTCTTCTTTCCGGCAGTACCGTTCCGTTCTGGGACTGAAGAGCATGACAGGAGAATTTAGCGTGCAATAATTAGCAAGTTCGGACCTAGCCAAGTGGGGGTTTGGATAATGGATCAAGTGTTCCAAAATTGGCAGAATCCGCAGAAATATAAGATTTCTGAAGGATAAAATATAGGCGATCGCGATATACAATGGAAAAGGGATAAGGGGGACGCTGTCTAGGAAACGAAAATTGGATTATGACACCATCAATTTTGGTCACAAGCGCTGGACGCCTAAGCAGGTGTAATTTGGTCGGTTACCTTAGTAGATAAAGGCTGGTTAGATCCAATCACCCAACCAATTTCATGACAAGTACCAAAGGTGGACAAAGTTGGATGATGTATATAGTGCAGACTGTGCCTCCATAAGGCTGGCCGCGCGGCAGTGGTAACCTGTCGCGTGCACACTCACAACCTCCTATTCTGCAGGTCCGCATGTGTAGACAGTGATGTATTTGTCATATCTTCAAACTGATGAAACACCGATAATGGCCAGAAATTCAAGTCGCTTCAGCCTCAATTCTATCTTCCGAGAACGATTTCATGGATGCGACAGAAAAAGGATGACGACTTGGGGTTGCGTACTGCGCCACCAAGTCGCTAAGCACTTACGTTTCTGGTTTTGTTAATCTTGCGCTTCGGCTGGCTCGGCCCTTGCAGACTCCGCCGGACATAAGGTACTGTTCACATCTCGCATTTATGGGCAGGAGGTCTTATCCTTGTTAGATCGTCAATACGTATACCACGTAGGAAGAGGATCAGATGCGTTTTGAGGTCCGTTCTCTGTCTGCAATTTATTCGCTAATAAATACATTGGTCAAGTTGAGGAGCTGGTATGCGAGCTATTGTGGTGTGAGGAGTATAAATACTATCAATGACGATCGTGAGATGCACTCAGTGTTTGCAACTTTGGACCGGAAGTCTATCGGTTTAGTGCTCTCAACTTCTATTATGCTAAATTCCAGCACTCGTTGACCTAGGTAATTTTGAGTGGCCTCAAGTACACAGATGATGGCATAATTTTAGTCTGATATTGTTACATAGTGTCTATCGACAATATGTGCCAACAGAACAGACATCGAGAATAATATCGGTTCTTGCGACAAGAGCAGAATTATAGTCAGTGAGGATCTATCCATTGCTGAACAGCTAGTGCAGTTCGTTCAACCCCCATGGCTACCATCTGGGATCGGTCAATACAAAGGTTCAACAGGCCTTCGATATACGAGCCATTGGTCCATTCGAAATGGCTCAATTTAAGCCCCAGGACCATGAATTTATCTTCCCGGAGAATGAGACTTCATGCCCTATATCTATAATGTGCTTTTCATAGGTATCAGTCCAATAAGTGAAACTATCCAGATTCTGAGTGGATGCCTAAGGAATCAAACACTGTATGTCGGTAAAGTCGCGACCACAATCTGTAATTTTCTGATCATCAAATAAGAACTGAGACATGTCATAAGAGATTGAAGTGATTAGTTCATTAACGGACCAAAGAGCCATTCGGACTATTCTTGCAATAAGATTTGATTTCTTCTATGAAGACAAAGATAGGTTAGAAGTTGGATGGGCTGACATAAGAAGCCCTACCGAGAGGCGCTGTGCCCGACTCGGCTAGTGCACCTTAGTCAGCCGCCCACACAGGGAAATCTCGCTACACCACAGCAAAAAATCCCACGAAGAACGAACCTCCGACGACCTGAACCTCCTCGACCTGTCGACAAACCCGCGCCTCCGTCTTGACCGCGCACACCCGTCAAGATGAAGCTCAACATCTCCTACCCGGCCAATGGGTCGCAGAAAATCATCGAGCTTGACGATGAGCGCAAGCTTCGTCCCTTCATGGAGAAGCGCATGGGAGCCGAAGTTAGCACACCCCCAGATCTATTTTGCTTTACGTATCCGGCACCTCGAAACCACGCAAGAGAATTTCTTAAGCCGGAAGAGAATTGGATATCGAATGGAGAACAGAAGACTGATTCGGACTATTTTTCTCACTAGATTCCCGGCGACTCCCTCGGTGATGAATTCAAGGGTTACATCTTCAAGATTACCGGTGGTAACGACAAGCAAGGTACGATTCCAGAGTCCTGCTTGCCAGAAATCAAGCAGTTATGAAATAGCGACGGAAGGATTCAGTTTGCTGACGCTATAACTCTAGGTTTCCCCATGAAGCAGGGTGGTACGTAACGACTGCAAGAATCGTCATCAGACACAAGTCAGAAAACTTACGGATATCACCAGTTCTCCTTCCCACTCGTACCAGACTCCTGCTTTCCGACGGCCACAGGTAATTACGCACCTGCCAGTATCGAAAATGTCCAGAGAATGCGTCGCTGACGAGTCATTGCAGCTGCTACCGCCCCCGCCGCACTGGTGAGAGAAAGCGCAAGAGTGTCCGTGGTGGTATGTCTCGAACCGTCCTACAATCAGAAACACCCAGAGAGAAGGAAACGCGTAGTTGACACTTGTCATTACAGCCATCACCAACTTCGACCTCGCCGTCCTTGCCCTGAGCATCGTCAAGCAGGGTGAGGGTGAGCTCCCCGGTCTCACCGACACCGTTGTCCCCAAGAGACTCGGTCCCAAGCGTGCCACCAAGATCCGCCGCTTCTTCGGTCTCGACAAGAAGGACGATGTCCGCAAGTTCGTCATCCGTCGTACCGTCACCCGTGAGGGCAAGCCCGACTACACCAAGGCCCCCAAGATCCAGCGTCTGGTTACTCCCCAGCGCCTCCAGCGCAAGCGTCACAGGATTGCCCTCAAGCGCCGTCGCGCTGAGGCTGCCAAGGAGGCTGCGTAAGCTCCACCCTATTTCCTTCAGCCCTAACGCTCGGTGGGAATATGCTCGCTAACATACCAAACAGTAACGACTACGCCAAGCTTCTTGCCACCCGTGTCCACGAGGAGAAGGCCAAGCGTGACGAGCTCCGCAAGCGGAGAGCGTCTTCGATGAGAAAGTAAATGTTTTTCTCCGGGGGTTAATGGTCGGGTTACGTCTCTATTATGGCTAGGGAAGAGGGGTTTTGAGTTCAACGCAGGGGCGACCCAAGTGAAAATGAAGGCCCTTGGGGGACGAGCGTCTGCGGAACCGGGCCGCTTTGGTGTGCAAAACTAAAACTCAATTCTAAGAATTCAATTTCACGGAGTGAATGGGAAAAAATGTTAAAGAGTTCTTGTTCCTGCTTGCTTGGGTTGCCTATTCTCAACCATCGACAAAAGGTCGTTCCTTTTTCCCCCATTCTCATCACTCAGCATGGCATGGTAACGGTTCCGCGGGTTGCTTAGCACTGCTTACCTGAATGAAACGAAGCTCTTTCTTTCTCTGATTTTTCTCCTAGAATGTCTGTATTCCCATCGCAATCTGATTATTTCTTCCAGCTTCATAACACAATCCTGGTTTCATAATCATGGAAGAGCCTTGGCTTACCACGCGGCCACGATTACGTTACATGAGTCCTAGGCTAAGCATCCAAGCATCATTGAAAGACATTCTTATTCAAATAAGTATCGATTTGGTTAGCCATTGGCCCCAAGCAACAAAACTCAATATCCTCGGTGCTGCCGTCTAAATATCAAGTAGACTTCAAAGCAATCAAAAATGCACCCGGCAGCCATTCAGTCTCTATATATGTACAAAGGTATAGATTTCAAATTCAGAAGCAAAGTGCCTACTTTTCCCTTCATCCATTCTCTTGTGTCTCATGCATCATGTCCAGTATTCATGTTATAGATAGAAAAAGAAACGAGCAAAACCGAGGCTAACATGCCCTACAAAGCTCGACAAAAACAGAGCAAACTGATTGACAACTTCCGTAGAAGAAAACGCAAATGCAGTGGTAGAACAGAGCAGTCAAGAACAAGAAGCCACCTTCGACCAGTCATATTAGACAAGACTGGAGTTTCTCTCCAATGACTTCAAAATTCTCCGATTCTGCCCAATTCTACGCGACAGCGTGCGAGAACAGGAAACTCACAGATTCACCATTGTGTGTGCGTCTGCAAGCCTCCGCCAACGTAGGACTGATATCAATGGTGTCAATCTTGTCGCACATCTCCTTCTTCTCCTTGTGGGGCACTGTGTTGGTCACGACGACACGGTTCAAGCAACTGTTGTTGATGTTCTCAATGGCATTGCCGGAGAGAATGCCGTGTACGACAATGGCGTTGACTTCCTTCGCACCGTGCTGCATGACAGTGTCGGCGGCCTTGACGAGAGTACCACACGTATCAGCCATGTCGTCGACAATGATCGCGATCTTGTCTTTGACATTTCCGACGAGAACCATGCGAGAGACCTCGTTGGGACGAGGACGTTCCTTGTGGATGAGAGCGAATTGCAGGTCAAGACGGTCCGCAATCCCCGTAGCACTATCGAGGACACAGTCAATACCTTCGCGATCGCAAACTCAGGTAAAACAATCTTGCTTACCGCTTCGCACCACCGGCATCGGGACTGACAATGACACAGTTCTTCACATCCAAGTGTTCCCGGATCCACTTCAACATGCTAGGCTCGGCATACAGGTTATCAACAGGGACATTGAAAAAACCCTGGATCTGACTGGCATGGAGATCCATTGTAATGACATGGTTGCAGCCAGCAGTTTGGAGCATGTTCGCCATCAGTTTCGCGGTGATCGGCGCACGGCTCTTGTCTTTCTTGTCTTGGCGCGCATAAGGGAAGTTGGGGATGACAGCCGTGATGCGACGGGCCGAGGCAGTCTTGCAAGCGTTGATCATGATAAGAAGCTCCATCAATCCGTCATTGATATCGTTGGGTTTCGTGGACTGCAAGATGAACACTGCAGGGAGCAAGAAGGAGCAGGTTAATTCAATGTCCCGATACCATCGCCTGTACCACCGGACAACAGGAGTGGGAGACAGTACCATCCTCGTCTCGTACACTTTCACCAATTGTGACACTTGTTTCCGAATTCGAATACTGCAGGACCATGATCTTGGTCAACTCGATGCCGAGCCTGCCGTGAAGAAACGCTGTCAGTCACCGCACCGCAAGGCAAATATTCTGTGGACGCGCATACCGAGCAGCAACAAGATTCGCAAGTTCGGGATGACTGTTACCAGTCAAAAGCTTGATCGAATTCGTGGCCATGGTGTCGAAGGCTCAGAGTGACTGGAAACGGCCACAAAAAGAAAAGGATCCAATTAGATTCGGGTTCAGCTGTGGACAGCCGCTGGAAGATACCACTAGAGTCAATACGGTGTATATTCAGAACAAAAGGCGTAGAGTCATGCTAGGGAAAGATCTAAATATCGGTAAATGCAAGGAGAAAGACGTCGATAAAAGCCCCGCGGGCAACCAACTTTGATCGAACTTTTTTTTCCCCAGTCGAACCATTGCCGTCCCGTGACTTCTGCCTGCCAGTCCCACTCCGACTCACCGCCTTGTCCTGAGATAAATGAAGCATTGCGAGGAATCCGTTACATTCCCAGATTGACTGAAGCGCGGAGGCCAGAGGGACGCATGGCATCCTTGGTGCTATATAAGATAGAAGCCAGATAGTGTGAGAATGAAACAATACGCTCAGACAAAAGACGCGAGAGCTGCGCCATTAGTCTGATAATAGTAGTGGTCGATAATCCCCAGATAAGAGGAGATAAGATCATGCATATATTTTCGAAGGGTATGATGACAAGCACTGATCCTATGAGACCAAGCTAAAGAACAAAATCTTGTTACGCAGGAAAGCCTTGCAGGGGCGCTAGTACCAGAGTGAATGAGTGGGACGAGACTGCTTTTGTTTATTCTAAAAGATCCGGAACTACATACATGGAAAACAACTTCGAAGAAAGGTAACAGTGCATGGATAACCAGCCGTTCCTGTCCCTCATAGAGATCTGGTTGACCTGCACTTCAACCAGTACCCTGACAGGAGACCGTCCAAGTCTTAGGTCGTTACCCCCTGCAGTGCCATCCTGAAGAATTTGACCAGCATAAATGATACACACGAGCAAGGAAAAGAAAGAAAAATATCTTGAAACGCCATCAAATGCTAGAGCATCAGAGAATTAGAAAAGGAAGAAAAAAAAGAACTTGCAGAGAACCAGAAGTCATTATCCGACGAAAAGGATATGAGAAGAAAGAACCATCAGTCTATGCGAATCCGAAATAATCACTGCCAGCCGTCATTGCAGTATACAGACGCTGTCTCAAAGTCTCGTAGCTATCATATTCTGGAAGATCAAGTTCTGATTGCTCAAGTTAGTCTCTGATTGCCATAATCTCAATTTTATACCGAAGACTTACGGTTGAAGCATGTGTGCGAGCTTGGAAGACGATCCTTGTTGCCATAGTCGCGATGAATATTGAACTTGCTGACCCCGTTCATGCCTTCAAGTTCCTTGAAACCGTTGAGTGGCACTTTGCTTGTTCCTGTAACGAACTGCAGGAGTTTGGCACGTTCCTCCTTGTCAAACGAGCGGACAGCACGCCAGAACCACTGGATTTGCGGTGACGAGGCGGAATAGTTATGATACTCGGTATTCGCTTTCCAGTCGTCCACCTCAATCTCAGGGAGACCGGAGATAAGAAGTTCAAGCTCTTGTTCGTTGAAGATGGAAATCAGCTCAGGAGGAATGATCTCGTGGAAGCCTATAAAGATAATGAGTATCTGCAGTCATGATTGGATCGAGCAAAGAGGAAAGAAAGGAAAGCGGCATACCTTTCAGGAAATTGTCAAGCTGGTCCTTGACAGACTTGACCAAACGGTAATCCACCACACGTTGAACGTATTCCTCCTTATTCTCCTGAGTCACCGGGATGTTGCGGCCATTTTCTATGAGATCAATCACCTGCTTCTCGCCAAAGTCATCAGTTTCGACGGCAAAAGTCTCAGTGATGATGTCGGTAATATCGTTCTCTAGCATCCAGAGAAGAGACTTGTAATAATCGAGGTCAAGCGTTTCCATGTCCTTGATGGAGACTGATCGGCCGAGAATGCACTTGTAGACTGCTCGGCTGAAATGGCAGTCCAGAACGCGCCCTTCGTAGAGAGCTTTGCCGATAATGCGTCCAATGAACTTGAAAAACATCAGGTGCTCCGAGTTGACACCACTCAGGCGATTTGGATGGAACGTGGTACGATCAGCAGCAACGGGGATGAACAAGGCATAGTTGGGATTGAACATGCCACGAGCAAGAACCTGGAACCATTCTCTGGTCACACCTCCGGCATCGACGCCTTCCTCACCATGGAAGCGCACGTTCAACTTGCCGTACTTCAGCTCATCCGCCGACTTAAAGTACAGAGACTTGAAAGAATCGAGGAAGACTTGGTCTCTCCTGACAGAAAGTTGAAGAGGCGGATGAGGGTGGCGAGGCTCAGCTCCACGAGAATGAAGCTTGCGAGTAAAGTAATTGCGCTTGTTGTCAAACTCCAGAACCTTCGGATTTTTGACCAACAAAGAAAAGCTCCCACTCATCAGTCTAGGATTCTGACGAACAAGTTCGTTCAAAATCTTGCGATGATCTTCTGTGAATCTGAAAAACAAGCCTTCCATATTCAAACCGGCATCGGCCGAAGTGGTAGACACAGACAATTCTCGGCTGTTGCGAGCGATGGAGGTGTCTTTCAACGTCGTGTTCTTGCACACGACCATCAACGCCTCAATCAAAGGTAAGAGGATGGTGGCCACGTTCAGCATATTTTCCTTTTGACGGATGACAGTCAGGCATTCGCTGAGCTTAGTCCACAGAGGTCCGAAAGTCGAGCTCTCGTACAACGTTTGCAGGACATCTTCCTTAGCGGTAGAGTCAGGTTCAGGCGCCTTAACCTTATCCGCACGGTTGGGATCAAACAGATAGTCGAGTGCCGTCAAGACACGCAACAATTTGGCTTGGTCTGAACTGGCTGGTGAAAACTTCGCCAAAGCCAAGCCCTGCATGTCTGTGCCTGTTCGAGCTTGGTGGATATGAGATAGAAGTTCGTCCAAATCCGTTAAAATCGTGGTGCAGAGACTCAGGGCTTGGTTGACAAGTTCGTTGCCAATGACGTCCCTAGCGCCGGGAATAGCTGAAAGATTATTGATAGTCGAGAGCGTTTCTCTGAAAGTCTTCCCGTTGCACTCTCGAGCAGCCAAAATGTGGACAACTAAGCGAAGATTTTGATCAGGAACAACAGGAGGTTCAATAGTCTTCCTCTTCGGTTTCTCATCTTCCACTGTCTCCTTTGCTGTCTCGGCCTTGTCTGCCTCGACCGGCGCAGCGTCTTCTTGTGCTGTTGCCTGAGCAGCTTGGGGCTCTGCACCTTCCACAGTAGCGGCGGGCGCATCAGTCATGGTTGCGTCGGTGCCAGCTGCCGGTTCCATAGTTTCACTTGGCTGAGCTGCATGCTCCTGGTCAGCACTTGGTTCCGCCACCTGGGCCTGTTCCGGCTTTTTGTCTTTGCCTTCTTCTTCCTCTTGTTTTTCCTTCTCTCGACGAAGAAGTAAGGTCAGTGGCTGTGTAATGCTATTCAGTAGACTAGAAAGTTGTTCCATGCAGTTCGGATTTTCCATGATCAAGCTGCGGTCAAGTAGATTAAGAAGAGCATTCAGAGCAAATTTGTTTGCCTTAATTTCCTTCCCTTTGCCTTTGCGGGATGGCTTCAGTTTCAATGTGGAAGCAGGATCATGCTCCGTAAGGAAGAACCACGCAATGTGGGGATTGTACTGGGATAAGAAAGAAAGAGTGCCCAGGCACTGTTGCACAACCATAATTGGAGTAACATCGCTGCTGACACTCGATGAAGTGTGGAAAGCCATGTTACGCTTGACGGACTGAGGAGTCTTTTGGACCGAAGAAGGCTTTGCACGTAGCGAAAGATGAGCGAAACTGCGTTCAATCGCCGGGACGTCTACACTCCCATCCTGGAGGACAGACAGAAGAAGGCTAATGACCTCAATGCGATTTTGGCGATTTTCACACACGTTGTGAAGGATGTCGTTCAACTGATGGCGCGCATTTCCTTGAAGAGGCATGAACATCAGACGGAGTAAAGTAGCAACGCCAGCTTTATCGAGCATTTGGACAATCTGGCGGCGTTGTGGCTTCTTGGTCTCTTGATCTTCAGCTTGTTCATTTCTAGGACGATGATCAGCTCGGGTAATATCGCCAAACTGAGCCAATCGTCTTCCTGGCAAGGCGCGTGCCTCGGTAACAAATTCCGGACCTAGAGTCGCAAGAATTTCCTCGGGTTGGTCAGCAAGTACAGCTTGTCGCAAGGAAGGATCCAGGGTAGCAAGGAAGCTGGCAGCGTCCATATCTTCGGCGTGAGCTGGGGCATTGGCAGCCGCCGCTTGCCTGCGTGCGCTCTCGCGCTCTCGGCGGCGACGGTCAGCTGCTTCTTGCTGCAAAAGTTCTTCGCGAATATCCGGAGGCAATGCCTCTAAGAACTCCTGGTTAATTTCGCTGGGCTCTTCACCAGCTGCGGCAGCCTGCGAACGCTGCTCCGCGAGTTGTTGCATGATAACCTCTTCTCGAAGCTCTTCAGGCAGTGCCTCGAGATACTCAGGATCTATTTCCATGCCAGTAATATCAAGCTGGCGGCCGCGGATCGTTGTGTGCACTCGACGAGCAGGCTCTGACGGGCCAACTTCAGCCTGGGTCGATGGTTCCGCAGCCTCTTCCATAGCTGTTTCTTGAATGTCGTCCATTGGCTCGGAGACGATTCCTGCGGCTTGACGCTCTGCCTCCTGCTGCTCCATTTCTTGCTGACGTCGAGCGTTTTCTTCCTCATCCTTTCGTTTACGCTCTTTTTCCTCTTCCTCTCTAGCGATGCGTTCTTGACGTTCACGCTCGGCCCGCTCTTCCTCCCGTCGCTTGCGCTCCTCTTCCATCTGTTTTTCACGTTGCTTCTCTTCCTCAATTGCAGGCGGAACAAGGATCTTCAGCAGAGAATTCACGACACGCTGTGTCTTCTCGACGTAAGTGCTGCTGAACAGGATGCGAGCCTCCTCTTGCCAGCGACTTCTAGTGGTGGCCAAAGCGAAGCTTACGGCTTGAGAAGGATCGTCGCGAGTCCGAGCCGGAGGAGCCTGTGGTCTGCCAAGACCGAAGATGTCTTGAATACTACGGTTTGGTAAAATAGCGCGCCTATCGACGTGGACATGTATCCCGTCTGGACGAGTTATGACGCCGAAGCCCGGCGTCGCTTGTCCGGAAATTGCCTGCATGATTGCGTTCATGAAGCTTACCGGGCTGTCCATGGGAACAAGACGTCCGGTAGAGATAGGTTCCATGCCATGGACCCAATCGGTGAAAGCTTCATTGCCGGGCAAGCGGGGCTGCGCAGTTTCTGCACCCCGATCGGTTCGAACAAGAAGGGGATTCGTGCCGTCGTCGGTACCACGAGCGGGAACTTGCGTTCGATGGAATCGGTAGGGCTGAATTGGAACTATGCCATGGCGATTCGGGACCATTCCGGTAACGGCAGCCCAGGTCGGTTGGGGGCCGCGGAATCGCTGGTGATGTCCACGGTGCAATGGAGGCTCGTCGCCATCCCAACCCCACGGATCGATTAGATCTTCATCTATTAAATAATAATATCAGTAATCTTCTAGAGATGCATAGGCAGTTCAAGTCATCGTACCATCGTCGAAGCCTTGGTATGATCCTTCGTCCTCATCAATGCCCTCTAATTCCTCCTCAAGCTCGTCAATTTCGTCATCCTCTAAAATACTGTCAGCAATTTGCACAATTCCTATGGCGACCAGATCACTGACCGTCGTCATCATTCAGATCATCATCGACCATGTCATCATGCGCATCGCCGAGGCTGTCGGCCTGAAGATCCTCGACACCCCCTGCAGCTTCGTTCAAGACGCGGAACAAGTCGTCAAAACGCTGGCTATCACCACGACGATCTGCTTGCCGAATATCGGCTAGCTCGTCCTCGAACTGATTCATGATTTCCGCTTCCTCGTCATCTTCGGACATTTCCTCGCTTTCCCATTCATCTTCATCACCTTCCTCCAAGCTATCGTTGTCATGATCACCGGTTATCTCACCAGCGAGGATCTCGTCATCGTCCATATCGGACTCGTCATCTTCTTCATCGTCATCTTCATCGTCTTCATCGTCTTCGTCGTCAATCACGACTTCAATATCCATGCCGGAGTCACCCGGAAGGCCTTCGATAGGTCCGACACCCTCGATCTCGTCCTCCTCGTCGCTAACCACCTCGCCGTCATCTTCGGGCATGTCTTCATCGTAATCCATCTCGTCACCGTATTCGTCATCATACATCTCGTCGTCCTCCTCCTCCTCCGATTCTTCAGAGCTGGTCTCCTCCTCATGGCGAGGCTCCAGCATCCCCAATGTAGAATGGCGGAAAAGATCAGGAGTCTCTTCCCGGTCATCATCAAGATCAGAGACAGATGTGGCCGAGGAGATTTCGTCTTCCTCGGTATCTCCAAGAGTAGAAATATCCGACGATTCACTTAGGATGACGGCAGTTTGTGTAAGCTTGTTCAGCGGGCGCAGGATATACTTGATGACCCGCTTGGATGCCGGGAAGTTGAGGTCAATCTCAGCAATCGAGGCGGTCAAAGCAGCAATGAAATGCTTTTCATACATGGTCTTGGCGAGCTGCCTGGTGGAGGACGGGAAAGTCGTGTCACCCGAAACGAAGGCATACCCGCTGAGCATTTTATCGAACAGATCCGCAAGCGACATTAGCCTGGAATACTTCACATCCAGCTGTTCATTAGACGCATTCGCTTCCTTGTATGTCCGTAGCGCATGCTCCAAGACAAAACGCCTGACGAAAGCGAGCTCGGGCTCATCTTCCTCATTCGCATTCTGATCGTTGCGACGTCTTCCATTGCCCCCAAACTCACCAGTTTTGGTGCACAGAGCGACGAGTACCCGCATTGTCCAAGCAGAAGTGTTACTTCGCTTTTTGAAGGCAACTGATTCGTCATGCTCCATCGTGCCCACAGGCACGAGAACATTCAGCAGGTAATTCAGAATTCCCGACCGGGGTTTCGACGGCGTCGTTGCAAGGGGATCAGCCTTGCGCGAGAAATTTATGAACTCGACTTTTGTGCGATTATAAGAAGACAGCAGTTCGGTCAGGCATTGCAGGAGGAAACACCGGTAAATGTAAATAGGATGCTCGTCCGCCTTAAATAAAGGCTTTTCCGATTTCTTGGAGGTACGCGCACCCGGCAGTTCGGCGCTGGAGACGGACGGGGTGGGTTCATCGGTCGCCATTTCTATGTCGGTCTGAGTTTCTGATTGATCGTTTACAGCTGCATCCCCGGCTTCAGCTGGGGGTTCCTTGTCTTCGACATCCTTGTAGGACAAGAGCTCGGACAGTAGATAGTGGATAACGCCGTCGGGGTTCTCTACCACAGGTGGCTTCAAATCCGCAGCTTTACCCTTCTCTTTGTCATCCAATGAAGGTGCACCGCTTGCGACGTTATTATTGCTAGTGCTCGTGTTTTCAGCACCTTCTCGAGCTGATGAGGACCCTGGTGAGCCATTGGTCTTGTCCGACTTCAAAGTAAGAATCTGTGGGCGTTGACGGTTATCGTACCGCTGCAACTTCAGCTTCTCATTGGATACTTCCACGAAAAGTTCCGGCGACCTCAAGACCAGATGGTACATCTGTCGAACGTAACCGGTAGTATCGATCTGACGAGATGATTTCGACTCGAAATTGGCCACAATCTCGCTCCTCATGATCTGACGAATCGTGTCCTCGTCTTCGACGATATGTCGCAGGATCAACATAAATGCGCTCTGAAGTTTCTCATTCGTAGAACTCGATAGTTGCTTGACCATAACGAATAGGCGCTGCAAGCTTCGCTTCTCCCCGAGTCTGACAGCTATGCTGCGACTTCTGGTGAGAATGACGAGAATTCGACACACAGACAGAGCTAAAGTGTCATCCTTCCCAATCCTAGGTAAGATTTCGACTATGGCTTCATAAAGTTGAGTCTTCTGATCCAGAGAAATCAGAGGCTCCTCAAGCTGCGCCGGTCCTGCGTCATCAGGAGTCGAGTTGTCGCTGTCGGGCAGATTCCAACGAATTTGAGGTGGCTGCGCATCGTCTGAAAGCAGCTTCTCCAGGATAAGCAGCACATGCCCAATCCAAGGGAAAGACTCGTCTGCTGACTTTTCTGGAGAGACTTTGATGAATCCAAGGAAGGTTGTGAAACATTCCTTCAGCTCGTCCAATGTAGCAGTATACATGTCTTTGTCTTGCAAAACCAAGGCAAGCAAGTGGGCATAAGCTGCTACCTTTTTACCAGCAACTTGGAAATTGTCCATCTGCAACGAGACCAAAGACTGAACAAGAATCTCACCGACCTCTCTTCGGAAGCTCTCGGGGTCACTGTGCTTCTTTGTCGCGGACGCGATGAGGTCTGATAACTCGAAGGACACGTCATGGTGTTCATTAAGAACATCCAGGCAACGCTCGATCAGATTTGAGCGAACCTTTTCACGTTCCTCGTCCAAGTCTTCAACCGTAGTAAGCTCACGTCGTCTTGAGGATTGTTCTGTAGGTTGCTCTGAGAAGGCCGTTCCTGCCTGGTTCGAACTCTCAGATGAGTTTCCTGAGGCATCGGCGTTGCGAGCATTTCTATGCGAGGACATATCACGATCCTCGCCAGCCACGCTCTGCTCATCATTGAGAATTTGAGTCAACGCTCTGGCCAGAAATTCAGTCCCATTGCCAAGCTCATTATCGGGTCTGTCCTGGTCTTGCTGCTGGCGAGGACCGTCATCAGTTGACCGTCCGGATGCCTGAGCAAGGAGCATGGCAAGAGTGGAGCGTTCCAAGAATCCGCTATTGAAAGGCGGTGCGTCACCAAGAGCGGTATCTTCTGACGTCTCGCCACCAGCAGAATCAATATCTTCGGGGTTTGGTGGGACTCTTGGTGGAGCTCGCAACCGGTTCTGGGCCTTGCAGTACTCTTCAGCAGCGAGGTATACGTTGTTGCAGCGATAAAGAGCTTCGGTAGCCAGATCTTTGTCGAATCCTTTTTCTTCGTGTAAGTGACTAACGCGGTCCTTATTGACTACAACCGTCTTCCTTGTCGCTTCTGCTAAGAGAGGAGGAGTGTCGGAGCGACGAGCAGCCCCAGTCTCATATTCGCCGTCCAGTGATGAACGAAGGATATCAACTAGACATTTGACCACAGAGCTTGACGACTGCGTAGCAAAGTCGGAATTCCACAAGTCTCGAGCCATTGGCAATATTTCCATCCGAAGATCAACCAAAAACTGGCCAGGTTGAAAATAGTCCGGTCGATCTCGATCCCGATCACCAGTAGTAATGGCCTGTGTCTGGCTGGAATCAACGATGTTTTTGCCCGAGGCCAATTCCGCGAAGAAAGAGAGAATGATCTTGATGCCTCCATAAGCAGATGTAAGTCGTGCGGAAACATCACTCTCTGACTCAGGGACAGACTCAGGCGGCGTGAGAGCCTTGACCTCTCGCATGAAGACATCGCAAATCTCTTTCATGACTTTCAATCCGTGCCTTTTCTTGAATGCAGATAGAACAAGGGTGAGATAGTGCGAATGTGGACGTTCGGCTGTAGCTGTTACCACCAACAAATTAGTATCAAGACGACCGGTTAGATCTCGCAAATCTGCAAGTAGGAAAGCTAGAGCAACGTACCTTCATAAAGCAGATGCGAAAACGATGAGAGGATGACAATAAGGTAGGCGAATCGGTGCTTAGGATTGTCGCTTGAGTTTGGAGGAGTAAACTGTAATTGATTTAGCACAGCCCCAGCAATGGCGTCCGCTACCATCGTCGCATTCTGTCTTTGGTATGAGTCTACCCGCCGCTTTCCTATCAGGCCGAGCCCTAAGTTGTGGAAGAAACCGGTGATCGAAGAAGGCAGGGAACTAAGGAGATAGCGGAGTGCCTGCACATTCTTGAAAGCTGCCCCACCCTCTGGTACCTTGGTGATATCGTTGGACTGCTGCGCAGCGCCTTGCAGTTCAGGTCCACGGTTTGCTGAGCCTTCTGATGCAGGCTCAGCAGTGCCACCTTCCGCAGTAGGTAGTTCAGTCCCTTCGTTGGGCTTGTCCGTGCTAGCTCCTGCTTGCGCTTTGGTAGCCTGGTCCCAAGTGGCAGGAATATTCTTTTCGAGAAGGATCTCCTCCCAGACGCAAGCAGCATGCAGACTTCCCAGAGCCGAGACGAGCACGCAGTATCGATCGGCTAGGTTGACTTGAGCAAAAGCAGAAGTGTGTTGGCTAGGGCGGGTCTGATACAAAGGCATGGAGAAGATTTCACGAAGCAAATCTGTAAGGACAAGAGTGGCAGCCATATGCTTTGCAAAGTAGGTTCCATTGGTCTTCGCGATGTCCAAGATATCCTTGCCTTTCTCCTCGGATAACTTCTCGGTGCCTGGTTTAATCAGAGGTGTAAAGAAACCCGAATCCCTGGGTTCAGACCAGAAAGCAGAAAGACTGTTGACAGCAGTCTCCGCTCGCGTGACAAGGGACGGCAAGACCAGGTGCGGTTTGGTTTCCGCCAACATATGTACCAGTACCGTAAGCTCCTGATTTGCATCTGAATTGTGAAAGTCGAATGGAAGACTCTGCAGGGTCGCGAAATCCAAAACAAATTCAACAGCCCCCGATTCGATGAAAGATGAGCAATTGGCTTGGTTTTCAAAGAAAGCGCCGAGGAATCGTACAACAGGGTAGACGTAATCTGTAACTGTGAGGCCAGCTGCGTCCTCGTCCTGAGGTTCTGCATACTCTGGCGAAGATGGAAGAAGTTGAGTCAGATCCCCTAGGTTGAGTCTTCCACCGTTAGGAAGAGTATTGGAAGTCAATTCCCGCACTCCAAGGTTTCGAAAATCATCCAGGGATGCGTCCATTGCGGCACCGATCTCGAGGGCCAGCACATCGTAATCGCCAGAAATCTGAGGCTTTCCTTGAGGACCTTCCACCCACATCTTCGTTCCCATGCCATGTGCCCAAGCCTTGCTCTTGCATAGTAGACCGACCCGTGCTACCATTACAATGATGGCGGTCATGATCGATGATTTCAGTGCTGGATGATGCCTCACCAGCTCGTCGAAGGTAGTGCCCAATGACCGGACGAGGTTGTGGTCATCCTTTAGACACTTTACATGCTGGGGATTTTCGAAGATCTCAAAAAAGCTTTCTAACGCGTTCGAAGACTGAAAGAGCTCAAGACCAGATGAATTGAGACATATGGCCCCAAAAGCAGAGGGTACGCAGGATAGTGCTTCTGCAGCAGGCATGATACCAGGAGCAAGACGCGCATCCTTCGACCTAGCCATATTGTATTCTCGGTCGTTCTGGTCGCCATGTGGCGATGGACCACTCACGGCATCAGATGGCAGAGGAGTTGGTTGGTCACCAGGCTGAGCCTCAGGTGCAGCACCCTCCGTCTCGACAACGGGTGTTTTCTCTGGAGTCTTGAGCTCAGATGAAGTCACAGCTTCCAGAAAACTCTTGCTCAATCCTGCTTCAGCAATGACCGCATAACTGGTTGGTTCATTATGAATGAAGCTACTGAGAATGTTAACGGCGTTGCTCCAAACATGTGACCCGAATACGCGAGCATTCTCAAACACGAGCCGGAGGGAAGTCAGCAATTGAGGCGAGTCAATCAAGTTCCGCAAGACTCTATCAAATCCACCGCCATTGTGTTGCATGATGTGGTTGACAAAGCGGAACATCCATCGAAGGGTTTGTTGTTGGAAATATGGAATCTGATAATCGATCGACGGAGTTTTGTGCTGCGGGGGAAGTCCAGCACCGCTCGAGACACTCTCAAAAGATGTCTTGGTCTCGTAGTCAATAAGGTCTGAGATAGCGTCAAAGCCCTTCGCATTCGTGAGCGTCGCGAGAGCATCACGGACCGCATGAACAAAGGTATCAAGAAATTCCATGACACGTGAATAAACGCGGCGAGCCTTCTCAGTGCGAAGGTTCAGAATATCAACAAACATCGGTATCAACCCAGCTGAAACAAGAGTTTCCGGAGTTCGAGTGCTTGAACCAGGAAGCGTACGCAGAAGAGCGAGTAGAGCGTCCCGCCATTCATCCTGGTAAGCTTCGTCCTTGTCACTTTCGTCTGATGCTAGCTCGTTAACAGCCTTTCGAGTCAGGAACATGAGAACTCCGTGGTTGACATTGACGCTCAGCGCGGCACAAACGTCAATAGCTCGTGACTTGTGCTTTGCTAAAGCATCAAGCGCGTTCAGAGCCAAGGTCTGCAGAGTACGGGAAACCGGAAGATCGCCGCTTGCGCCGAGATGAACTAGCTCGCCCAACTGGTATGCAAGCTGAAGGCGTTTCGGTTGTTCATTATCATACTGCAAGATCCTCTGTTGGAACAGCGTCTCGGGATAGACATAAGCTAAGTTGGTAACTGCAAGAATTCGGATAGCAAGAATCTGCTCTCGAGTGGAATTGGATGTGGCCACACCCTGGGCGGTACGGATTCTGTGAAGTAGTTCGTACTTCGACTCATCCGGCAACTCGTCCAAATGTGCAGCAAGAAGATCTTCAGCTTTCGATGCCGAAACCTTCGAGTAAGGGATGTCAAGAACTTTGCCTCCGCGCAACGCTTCCTCATGTTTTCCGGATGGAGAATTGGTGACGGAGCCCGGTGACTCTTCCACAACAGTCGTACGACTTAGCTGGGGAGTAGGATGGGTGTGACTTCTCCGAAGAGGCGTCGGTGTAGTGGGAGGTTGTGATGGCAGTCCAACTTGCGCATTCTCCGATGCCAACTTAGCAGGTTCAGCCGGGGCCGAAGGATAGTAGATCAAGCGCACATGACCCCACTCATCCCAGATGTCAGATTCGCGAGTAATGGAGATCAAATCATTAGCATTATGTCTGGAATGAGCTCCTTTCTCCTTGCCTTTGGTCCCGGCAGTAAGAGGAAGAGGCGCCTTGCCGGACGTGTAAGGACGGGGGAAAGGTGCGGCAATCTTCTGCAGCTTCTCTAGGTCGATGTTATAGTGAGCTGCCAACAAGCTCTGCTGAAGATGGGAACCGCCACGCTGACGGGAATGGTATCTTTGTGCCAGGCAAAGAGCCAACCGGAGGGTAGACTGAAGAAGAGAGAGTGAAGTGGTGTTCAGAAGCTCCCCTAAGCGCTCGCTGCTGTTATACAAGCTACGATTGCCGCATTTCTCTAACAGAAGCCTGGAGAAATCAAGAATCGCTTCCACAAGTTCCCTATCGCCTTCCGGCCCATATCCCAACGCATTCAATTTGGAATCTGCATCCTCAGAATTAGATTGACCGTCGGAACTTGTGTACGCGTCGATCAAAACGTATCTGCCAAAAGGCTTGGTCTGCGGGCCGGCGTTGAGAGCATACTTCTCGATGACGGACGCGAGAATATCGTCAAAGCGGTTCAATACATTGATCCAGTGATATAGATCACCTCTGGGAAACGGCCATAAGCGAGAAAAGGTATTGAGGTGTAGGGGAAGCTCTGGTACGGAGATAGTCGTGGCACGAGCTACGAATTCTGTCAAGTATGGTGACTGGGACAGGAAAGAAATTTTTCAGTCAGCCTGCATTCCAGAGCTGGAGATCGAGCGGGGTGAATGAACTTACAATTGTCGCCTCATGCTTTTGGCTCGCCACCTTCTTAATTCTCCCCATGATGAAGTTTTAAATTAGACAGCAACTCATGAGGAGGTTCGCTTCACCCTTGGTTTGCTCCTCCTGGTGAGGGTGGGGAGGTCGTGAAGACCCAAGTCGCGCAGAGGGTCGCGGAGGAGCCTTATGACGTTTGGGGTCTTCTCCTTCCTCAGCAAAAGCCTAACGAACGGAGCAGGACTAGGGTAGAAGCAATTAATGTCGGAGATGGATGGAATGAATATGAAGTAAAAGAGGCTTTTTCCTCCAACTAAAAAAGTCGGGTTGGGTGAGGGAAAGGTGAAGTGAGATGGTGGATTCTGTTGCAGCTTTGGAAGTATCGATAGGCGTTAAAAGTTCAGAGAAACAAAGTGCAGGTCGTTTCTCTGAAACTCTAGCAACCAAATCGGTCAAGACCTAATGAGATGAGTATTGAGAGACACTCCAAAGCCGAGACAGGATGACAGGAGGCGGTGCAAAAGGTCAAAATGAAGGGTGTGTTGAGGTTTGGAAGGTTCGTGAAATTATCCAGATGATGGAGCTCTGGTGCTCTTCCGTTGCAAGCAAAGCAGAGAACAGCCCGGAGCGGGTGTTCTTCCCCACCGAACAACTCATTCACTGATGCAGGCTACACCCTAGAAAAACTTCAAAAACACCCATTATCCATGGCGGCAGGCATCAAGAAATTGTATAATATTCTTCATACCTCAATTATTCATGAGGCTCTCGCTGGTTTCATCTGACAAGATTGAAAGCTATCTTTTCCCGTATGATGTCAGGCATGTATAGTAGGGGCTGCTTCAAGACCTTCCTAGGGTATTTCTGGCTAAGTCCATCTTCGACCATGATGCTTGATCCCTTTTGCCCTTCCGCAGGAAGCCAGCATATGGCATCTGTCATTCCCAGCTACCTTCCTCCCTAGTCCTACACCGTCAGGAAGCAGTAGTTGGTGTCTAACATCCACTACTGGAACCAAACGCTTCAGATGCGTCGTCCATTCGCCCAGATAAGCAAATCGATGCCTTGTAAATTGCTATTTGACTTATATGTATACACAGAGAGACATTGAGAAACGCCAATTTTATGTCCAATATAACGGAGCCCTTCCAGCGAGCTGCGTCAGTCAATATAGGATCCAATTATTATGCACCGTCTCGATCAGTCCTTTAATTCCGGCAAATCGCCATCCCACTGAATCTTCATCGTCGTTGGGAAGGGGAAAAAGCCAGTCTGGTCCGCAGTCATGTACATGGCAATCCCACCAGGACCCGAAAGCTTCTTCAGGTGGCCTTGTCCACCAGGCGCCCGGCGAAGGTTATCCAGCCGTCCAATGACCTTTAGCATGGTCGTAAGCGCGGTTTTACAAAGACCAAGTCCCAGACACTGGTGTGCCCCAAAACCGAAATGCGCATATAGATTCATGTCGCGGTCGAGTTTAACCTTGTCGGGCTCTGGAAAACTGACAGGGTCCATGGAAGCCGAAACCTAGTGAATATATCGTGAGCAGGAGGATCGCCAATTGCGAATTTTGATTCGTGGACTACTCACCAAGTTACAAATAATATGCTGGCCTTGTTTCAGTGTGATCTTCTGGCCGTTGTCCTCGACAACTGTAGGTTGTGCAACCACTCGCGGCAAGGCAACCGACGACCGCATCCGGGCACCCTCCATGAAGCTATCAAGTGTTAGTAAACGAGGACGACAGAAAATTTGATAATACTCACTATCGCAACAGTAGATCGTCGGCTTCAGGGGTGTCTTCCTTGGCCAGCCGGTTGATCTCAGGCAAGTGAACGGAGCCCTCTTCTGAGAGGTAATAGTCAAGAGATTGGGAGAAAAGCTGTGCTTGGTTGGCTACCATTCCTCCAGCAGTTGGCAGAACGTGTGTCCAAACGATTTCGGCAGCTGGCTTCCCGCTGTCAAGCAGGCGCTGAATCATATGGACACCATATTCGCTAAGGACATCGTGCCGATGCAGACTATTGACAAGATTGGCAATGAAACCAGTCTTCTCGATGAGCTCAACGTTAGCCAGCGTCAGCTGGCCAAGCTGTTGCGTCACGCCCCGAGCCCCTTGGTTAAGCTCGAAAGATTTCCCAACATCTGCATCGTAAAAGATGGAAGTGAACACGACTGCCATGATTTGGTACAACTCCGACTCAGTGAAGATGCCTCGGGGATTGGATTCGGTTTTCAATGGCAGCGAAAATACGGAAGCACAGAAGTGAACCTGCGCCAGGTTTGCAATATCGCGGACGATATCAACTTGGTTGACACCAGCAAGCTTGTAAGAGTACCTGTGCAGCAGCTTCAAAGTAATATCCTCATAGAACTTCTTCACTTCAGTTTCCCATTTATCACGGTACAGGGCCTTGCCCATCATTTGACGCGACATGGCGTTCGGGGTCCTGTCACCGGATAGCATGAAGTCTCTGCCATAAGGCTGATTATTGTGACGCATGAGAAACTCAATCTTACTACCCCAAGTAACCTTGAATGTCTCCTGGTCCGACAATATGGACATGCAGGCCGAATGGGAGTTGATGAACTGGGGCGGGGGCGTATAGTTGGGGCGATCCCAGCTATACTTATCGGCGGTTCCAAGTTTGGTCAGGATCTTCTTGTTCTCGGATGGTATGACAAGGGGGAAGTGAGCATAGATCGAATCGCCCCTGAAGTGGTTCGGAAAAGCTCGCAAGACGAGTTTGTAGAAGACATGGGTCTGGTCAACCGAATCCTGAGGCTGAATCTCATTGTACGCCCAGTTTGTGAGATGTTTCGGCGTAAAGTCGACGGTGTGAAAGCGGTCACCACGAACCAAAGCGACGGCGTCCGAGAGAATGGCTCTAGAGATCGTAAAGTTGGTGCATAATCCACTGCCAGGGGCCATTGACTCTTTCGCGTCTTCCACAATGATACCAGGGTATATCTCAACCCGATCAGGATGGTCGTAGAGTCGCTTGAGCTGGTCTGCGACGTGTGGATCCGGGTTAATTTCTTCAAAAGTCTTGTAGGGAGCCAAATTGAAGTATTTCCTGAATTCGTTCAGAGTAGCCAGATTCCAGGAGCGGGCTTGTTGAATCCCAAGCGCCTCGATGCTCCTGAAGACGGTGGGAACATGCAAGGCACCGAAAGCACCCGCGCAGTCCTCGACGCTTTCCTCGAAAATCTTGACTAAATCATCGTCGTCATATGACCCATCTGCCTTGCGCTGCAGTCCAGCAAACGGACGCTCCTGAGGCTCTTCTGGTAGCTTAGCCTCCCACCGACCAAGTCCTCGCAAGAAGTCCTGTAAGGAGATGTTGCTGGGATCCTGTCCAGGGAACAATTCTTGATACATATCTTCAGTCCATCTCTGATCTCGCTGAGAGATGCAAGCATGCCAACGATACACGAGGTTGAACTCAGCAGCAACTTGATTACCAGTTGCTTGAGTAGCTGCGCTGCCAAGTAACCCGTCCTTCATTTCAGAACGGGGGTCCAAGCTCCAGATGCTGTCTGTTCTGTTAATATTCAAAATGGTGCGAACATAATCCTTCAGAATGATGTTGACGTAGAGGCCGCATGTCACAAGTCGACCGGTTTGAAAAAGATCGTTGTCATACTTCGCATATGCTGCGGTGTCGGACTCTTGCGGCTTTGTAAACCGGCCTCCTTCGTTAATCATTGCAAGCTTCTCAACCACGTAGTTATGGAAACGATTGAACATCATCAAAACTACGCCAACGCCCGGAGGGAAGCCCAGAATGCGCTTTGTCGAGAAACAGTCTGGCTTGAGCTTACCATCCTTGAACGTCCTGACGAGATCCTGTTCTTCTTGATTGTTGCCATACAAAGGTGACAGATCCAAGTATGAAGAAGTTAGGCTGATTGTTGGATCTTTACGATCCGTCTGGAATAAATCTGCATATTTGTCAGTCCCAATTATTGTCCCTTCATTTGCCCAAGACTTACCATGGATAATGATGGATGCAATGTAGAACAATACACTAGATATCTTATTCGGATGTTCTTTGTACTCTTTGCGTGCCAAAAGACAATCAAAAAGAGTTTCAGGATCTGGTAGGTTCGGAGACTGCGTGGTATTGGGCCGTACAGATCTTGCATACGGAGTCCCAGCCGCACCAATATGTGGCCAAAGCACGTTCTGTTCAACTGGTCAGCAAGCATTTCCAACATCAGATGTAATTGAGCCCTACATTGCCAGAGCCATCCGCTCTTCGGTACATTGCGTCACGGCCAAGATAGCTGCTCGTGCGGTCAGAAGTAGGCCACAGAAGTTACTCCACGAAATCCACGTACGAGATTGGTGGGTGCTCCAAGTCATTCCACAGAGTGGTCAAAAAAGTATTCGTCAATTCTTTACCAATCTGGGACGTTGAGGGTAAACCAGCGGCGAGCTAGCATGTGGTCAGATTCAATAATCCAATTCGCCATTAACTTACGCGCATAGACTGACCTGGACAACTCGCTCCATGATATACTTCTTGTCGTCCAAAGCCTCACCAGTCAAGGCACTCTTCGATACATCCACGAGAGTCTTGAGATCGCCCAGGTCAACGTGGGGAAGATCTTTGAGAATGCCTGTCTTCACTTGCTCGGTGACATAGGTGCCATCGCCTGTTTGGTTAGGCATAGGCCGCAGCGACGCCGAGACAACCTGCTCGAGCTGAGCCAGGGCCTTTCCAAGTCCACCATTGACTGAACCGGTTTGCTTCTCAGACATGGCGGATATAGTGTGCAAAACAAAAGTGGTTGGGATGAAATACAAATGCACTACTAAGTCACATCAGCACTGGACATCTTTGCGAGAAAAAAAAAAGGCATATAAGAGGCCACTATGCGCTTTGCTTGTGGGACATCATTGTGGGGGGTGATTTATATAGTGTGGTTTGTACTCACAAATTTGCTAAATATCAGATTCGAGGATATATGTGACATGCAAAGCAAATATCACACTAGATATACAATTTAATACAGCCAAACAAGCATACAGAGGCAATAGCTTTGCTTAGCAAGTAGGA